AGAAAATGAGCTCTTGCGAAGTTCACTTGTAGGAAATTTCCCCTGGCGAGAATCTTTACTAGATGTGACTTTTCTTGCAGAATTTGTGTGGTTACTTGGACCTGGTTGAATTTTACCCGTAACCACACTTGAATCAAATACTACATTTGACATATCTATAAATCTCGAAGGTGGAACTCCTTTGTTGGGCCTCTCACTCCGTCGGACATTTTTGACGTGTGATGGTTCATTTGCTTCATTGTATTGTTCCATAGCGGTTCAATAATTACTCGAAGGACCAGTGTAAAATACTTAATCAAATTAAAAACGAATTCAAACAATTTCGCCTTTAATGACTTTTTTTGACAGTTCTTATTTTTTCTCCTCTGTCTAATTCTCAAACAACCTATGGTATTCATCTAACAACTTATACATAGTGATGAACAATTAACTGATATAAAAAAATACAAATATAATAAGTAACAGCATCTCAAATTTACAGGTAGGATTTCTGCCCAACTGTTTTGAGCATTAATGGTATGACGATACTATGATTCCGACGTATAGCATATTTATGGTGATAGGTAGTTAATTCTTTTTTGTTTTTATGCTGTAGGTACTGCAGTGATATTCATAAAAACAGCTGTATGGAATCAAATATTCCAGATTCTGAATGGAGTAGATCGCTAGGGTAGTCGTAATCTTTCCATAGGATACATCTAATAAATGTTTCTGCATAACCTCAAGAGAATGTAGATGAGTTTTCGACACTCCATCCCAACCAATTATACCGTATCTCAGATGGGGCTCTAGTAAACTCTTATATAACATAATTTTTTATTTTTGATTGAGTATGTTTGCTATCCGTTTGAATTTGTAAAGTATGCAACGTAATTATTCAACTATGTTCTTTATGTGCTGGTTCCATCTGAGATTGCTGTCTACAATTATTCCAAGATTTTTTTTGTGTGTTTGATGACTTCTGTATTAGAGATTTTGATGTCATATTCTGGTGGAGAGTTGTCATAATTACTGAATGGTACGTAATAGTTTTTCTCAAAGTTAATAGATAAGAGCCTGTGGTCGAACCACAATTTGATTTGAGGAAGATCATGTTCTAATTTCTGTTTCAAACTAAACCAGTTTTCGTCTTCGCAAAACAACACAGTATCATCGGCGAAACTTAGAATGTTAGAGTTGATGTCTTGTAGAAAAAGGTTGTTCAAATAACTATTGAAAAGGATTGGTCCTTCCCTTGGGGCACACCCCACATGTAATAATTTCCTCTCCACATATATGATTGCCCACTTCCACCCTTCGCTCTCTGTTGTAAAGATAACTTTTGAAAAGACTATTCGCTATACCTCTAATTCACATATCGTCCAGAAGATTCAGTAAGATAGAGTGGTCGACGGTGTCGAAAGCTTTCCTATGGTCTATGGAAACAGCAAAAGAGGGTTTTGATTTATTCAAACATGAATAAATTTGCTGGGTTAGGTTTTTTGCTGGGTCTTGGGTGGACATATTCTCCCTGAAGCCGTGTTGTGATTCTGACAACAACTGGTGTTTTTCAAGAAATATATTCAATCTCTTTTGAATAACCTTCTCGAGAACTTTAGCAAGACTAGTTATGAGTGAGATTAGTCTATAGTTTGCTACATTGGTTTTTTCTCCACTTTTATATAAAAGCGTTATAACAGCCATTTTGAGAGCTGAGGGAAAACATCCTTGCTCCAATGACATATTCACTAGATATGTTACTGGTTTCAATATATAATCAGACATCAGTTTCAGATATTCTGCTTTGATATCATCATAGCCAGGAGATCTTTGATTTTTGAGTTGTGATATGATATATTTTATCTCGTTTTCAGCAGAAAAATGGAGTGGTTATATATACCCTTCCTTTCGGAATAATCTGGATTTATATTATATTTATATTATATATTTGATATTTCAACCGGGTCCTTGACGAGTTCGTTATTTTTTGTTTTTATCAAGTTAATAGGTGTAGGATCTTGGTGAGTTATTATTTCATTAACAGTTTGCCACATTTTTTTGAATCATTACCCCCATTTTCAATACAATTCCTATGGTATTCATTTTTTATTTCCCTATTAAGCTTATCTGATATTTTCTTATGAGCCTGATATTCTTCACGTAAAACGATATCAAGTTTTCGATACATGCTATTTTTTTGTTTGCAGAATTGATCAAGCATGCAGTTATCCATGGTAGTAGAACATAAATAGAAATATTGGACACAATACAACTTTTCTTCCACTATTGTAACATAAGGTTACGAAAAATAAGCACATATTACATACAATAGATCATAAACATCATACAAGAAGTGGAGAACACAAATTAAAAGTACAATTTATGAATGAGAGTATTGAGCAGAAAAGTGACAGATATCAGTGCTTGACACTATATATCAATCTACCGGATATAATGAAAAACATCAAAAACATATATGCATTCAAAAAACAACTGAAAAGATATATTATCTCTATACCCCGTACTGAGATACATACTCTGTTTTATACATAAATGCACTTGCATTCTTTTCGTTTTATAAAAATGCGAAAAAAATAGATTGTGCAACTTCCCATGCATGCATGACATATGTGTACATGTATGTATATGTGTAAATGTGTTTGAGTATGTATGTATGTGTATATGTGTGTGTATATGTATGTGTATATATAGTTATTACTATACTTACTATTATTTATTAGGAAATCATTAAAACTGACTTTATTATTGCATTTTTTAAAATTATTATTATAATTATTCAAATTATTTATTATAGCTATGTCTGTCACAAGCAAGTGATGCCTTCGTGACGTATTATTTCTTATCTTTTTAGTCACCTGAATCTTCATTTATATGTTATTGAAGTAAACGTTTTTTTTTCAATTGGTATTGATCTGAAAATGGACTTATTTTTTTAGACAGAAATGTCGCGAATCGGTAAAAATTTATTTGTGTTGAAAATCAATATCGTTTTTGAAAACCTGAGCACTGAATTATTTATCTCTGTATGACCTATGACTTTGAACTTGCATGGTGGGTCACAGCATGCGTTTTGTTTTGCCAAAGAATGGGTACAAGCTTATGTATTTCGCTTTCTTGCCGATTAGCACCAATGTTTCAAGTATTTCATTCGATTTTTTCTCGAATATCAAGTTTTTACTGCTATTTCCACGCGCAAATAGAGTTCCAAAAGAGATTTCAATAACAGTGGAAAATACAGTAGTGGAATTGATCATAACTTCACCTTTTTTTTTTCAAGAATATAGGTTGGTGGAAAATTATTATAAGTGATAAATTTCGTAATTGTTATGATTCGATATATTCCATTATTGTGTTTTGAGATAACCAATCACTTGATGTATTTGTACTTCGAACTGTATACTGGAAACAGATTGAGAACTAATAATGAAATACTCACATCGTTTTCGCCCCAACCTGCTAATGAAGCTGTTTTGTTGGCTGGTGTGCTTTCGTGTGGTTTGGGTAGCTTCACGGGCTGAGCAGTCTCTCCGAATGAAATTGGTTCGGTGAGCTGTGAATATACAGATATTACCTAATTTAGTTGATATTTCTTATGCAATCCTGTTATATATTCGAAAACCTAGGTTGTTAAACAATATTATATCATTTTACAATTTACTTTTCAATCAAATGAATTAAAATTTTGTGAAAGTTCAAGCGTAGACACTCAAGTTGCAAAGGATAATTGGTATATATTATTCGAGAGAACAGAAGGAAAGTAAACCTGGCTAACATGTTCAAAATCTGTGATATTCGAGAAAATTCAAATTACACCATCATTTTATATAGTTATGGAAATAGGCTAGCCCAAACTTTTCTAAACCAATCAAATACTATTGTTAGTTTGACAACTTCTTGAAGAATTATTACTAATAATAATCAACTGGTACAATATTTCTTACCTTGATTATTGCTATGTCGTATGTATAGGGTGGTTCGATGATGAAGTCTGCATGATGTATCAATCTGGTGATCTGCATTTTATTACCTGAGCTAACATTTGTGTTTCCATATAAGATAAAATAATCCCCAGGTGTTTGCCTGTAATTCAAAATGATCAATTCATTTTCATCGGTCTTTCATCTGAAATGACGATCACGTTGATAAGTGCATGCTATTAATGATATATGCAATTTTTTCGGTTGGTTGGCCATTGTCTGACGTTTCATCTTCAATTATGGTGGTGATTATCAAAGGCGATGAGGCACTATCTGCTGACATGACAACTAGATTACTCCTTTCATTGTCTCATCACCATTGATAATGCCGACCCCAGTCACAGACGGAATTCAGTCATAACCAGCAGACTACGACAAACATACTCTGAAATGGTTTGACACAAGTATCTACTGCGGTGAAACTTCACACTCTTTGTGTACATGAAATTATTGAAACTGAAATTTCAGTCATCATTTAGATATGACCGAAATATTTTACTCGCGAGAAGTATATTTGTTCTTGTTTATCGAAAAAGTAATAAGAGTATAAGCTGTCAGACGGCTCAAAAACCAAAGATGACTCGGAGTGTGGAGTGTACTCCAGATCGCTGAGCCTAAGAATTAAGTGGGGAATGGAAGAAATACCAGTGTTTCCCAAACAGAACTGGCTGGTATCTCAATCGCCACAAAAAAATTAACTAAGAAAGGAATTTCTGGCAAAAACATAACAATCTGCACTGACAGCAGACAAGCCCTATTAGCGTTGAACAGACAACGTATAACCTCAGGGCTAGTACTAGAGCGTCACCAAGATTTAGCCAAAGCCTCGGTAGATATTAACATTATCATAAGTGGGTTAAAGGTAATCGCATTGCCGACTCTTTAGCCAAGGATGCGGCTGGACTAAGAATTTCAGGACCCAGTGGCACCTACGGCCTGATAACTTCGACAATTGCGGAACTAGTCAAATGTTACACCCATACTCAATCCTTAAAGAGATGGAACGAAACCAAAGGATGTTATCTTGACAGGATCACCGTGGGTGAACCCTGGGAATCTGTCGTCGAAGAAATATCTGGGAATGACCAGGAAAAATCTACGCCTAATAGTAGGATTTCTGACTGGCCACTGTCAACTAAGGAAACACCTCCATAATATGGGGCTGGTGGACACACCTCTATGCAGGATGTGTGAACAGGAAGATGAGACTATATGGCATGTCCTGTGCGAGTGCCCGGAGTTATCGTCAATAAGAGAGTGTGTGTTCGGCGTGTCTTGGCCTAAACCTTCCGATATAAAGGAGATGACTTCCAGTGACCTGTTCATATTCCTGGAAAGGACAGGATGGACGATGACCTAGGAGGACAACTCCTCCTCCAGTTCAGAGATATACTTCAATATATCAAATTCATTGTACTTGACATCAGTTTAATTAAAAAGTTTATTGAAATGAATGTTTTGCCTCAATCGAAAACAAAAAGTTCATGGAATATATACACAAGTTTTTGAACGAATAGGTAAGATTCCTGGATTATGTTCTATGTGAGTCATCCTTCGCAAACTCGAATCTGGCAATATATTTTTTCTGATTTTCTTGAGTATAATGGTAACAATTATCTTCTCATAGTAGATTTCTATTCCAATTGGTTAGAAGTACCAAAAACGAAGTCTAAATCAGCTGACGATGTTATCAACTTTTGCAAGAAACTTTTTTCTAGATATGGCTTTCCTGATATATTTTATTCAGATAACGTTCCATCGAACTCGTTGAAGTTGAAAAGATTCGCTAAAAAATGTTCCTTCGAACTAATTTTCAGCAGTCCTTACCGCCATCAATCAAACGGTCTTGCAGAGAGATATGTTGGTATCGTTAAGGACATGGTAAAAAAACTGAATGACGAAAATAATTTACCATTCTCCATACTAGAATATCACAACACTCCTTTACCTCAAAATAATTATTCCCCCGCCCAAATATTTCTACACAGAATTTCGAAAACAAAAATTCCTACATTAGAAGAAGATCTCAAGCCTTCCATTATAGATATCAATTTATATCAAAATAAATTAGAAAACAAATATGCTCAACAAAAACATGATATGATAAGATTACTTAAGATTTATCTGCATTGAAATTAGGAGATAATGTAATGGTTCAGAATGATAAAACTTGGAGGAAAGTTCAAGTGAAAGATATAATTAATCCATGATCTTACAATGTAGTTGATGAGACTGGAAAAATGTTTAGAAGGAACAGAAAATATTCGAATAACACTCAGTTCACTAGTTCTTTTGATAAGTTGCCCTTGATATATGATTATGAATTTGATAATGACACTCGTTATTCTCTTCCTTGTAATTTAGACTGTCTGCATCCATCAAATATTGATCTTTATTATGATAACATTACATCTGAAACCAATTGCAATGAATTTGACGAATCATTTGGAAATTAATTTGTACTATTGAGATCAAATAAAAAGAGAAATCGTAGAAAACCTACATATTTAAAAGAGTATGTCACTGATTTGGATTCAGATGATGATTGATTTGTTGATATTGAAATTTTCGTTTTGTTTCGTGATTATTATTATTATTGTTATTATTTTTAAATTTGTCGGAATAAAAGGGAAAACGTGTTATATGTATGTTCATTACTCTGTATTAGAGATAGTGAGATAGGATGGTTGTCATGACGACAGATACCAATAATAGATGTACAACTAGAAGGTACAAAAAAACTGTTAGGTAATACAAAAAGTTAATAAAATTTGTTCCCGTTTGTTGATGTTCAAAAGGCTTATAATTTTGACAAAGTCCTTCACCTATCCCTATCTGTTTTGGAGATAAAGAATAATAATAAAGACAAAAAATATAATAATAAATGATAGCCCTACTTGAACTTGAGTACATCAGTACTCTCAATTAGTGAAATAAAAAAAAAAAGATAGTTCATGGTCAAAACTTCATTTTTTCAAATAAAACCCCCCATATTTCACTCAATGAATTGAAAGATGATGGGAAATGCTCCAAGATGATATATAATGGCTCAGTACCTAAATCATGAAGTGTCCTTAATGACAAGTCACTTCTTCTGGAAACATAATTTTTTTACGACTTTGGTTTCAGGTAGCAGTGGGATTATCAAGCTTATAACAGTTTGGTTATTTTTATAAGTAATTTACAAATGTTTATCGAAGGTGATTTGAAATATCTTTCGAAATGAATGCAAATATCGATTGTTCAAACGAAGTTCTCATGAAATTATTTATTATACACGGACAGTGTGATCAAATCATTGCCAAAACTTGCAGTAAATTCAACCAAATGTATCCTGAATTGACACCAATAAACGAGAGAAAGTTTGTAAGATTACAAAATAATTTTCTTAACTACGGCTCAAAGTTAAAAGCGCCTTCAACATTACCAAAACCTGTTACTTCAAATGAGGACAATACTGTTAACGTTTTAGCATATTTTTATGCATATCCAGAAGCTTCCATTCGCAGTGCAGACAAATATTTGAGTATATCACATGCTTCAGTACAACGATTTTGAAAAATCACGAAATGCATCTGTTTAAATTTACCAATGTTCAAGTTCTCAAAGCAAAAGCATTAGAACGTAGAGTGGTTTTTTGCGAATCTCTTTAAATATGTTCTACCTACAAAAAGATCTGGAATTTTTGTCAAAAATAATTTGGAGCAACGAATCAAAATTTACGAGGGAAGGCATATTAATTGAAAGAAAACGAACACTTTTGTGCTGATCGTAATCCCCATGTGACAAAACAAATGGGTTTGAAGAAAAACTTCACCTGAATGTTTTCTGTATCTTGAAAAACAATAAAATTAGCTTATTTATTTATGAAGACTTGCTAAATACAGAGAGATAGCTCCAAATATTAGGTAAGATTGATATCGATTTTCTCGAAAATTTGCGTTCAGAGGAATATAGGAATTTGTGGTTTCAACTGGATGGGGCGCCAGCTCATTTCACCCTGAAAGTTTTCAGGAAAATTTACGAGATTTGAATCTCCATAAAATTGAGGTAGCAACAATAAGTCGCGTATAAAAGAACATTTTGAAATATTTAGAATATAATGGACAACATTAACAGCATTTATTGAAAAAATGCGATAATTTGTTTAATATTTTGTTACTTTTAATCATCCTTATTATGTTATTTTCTGTACTTTCACATGTTATAGCCCAGGGTAGGCTGGTCCACAGTGGCATATTTCGCAAAGGCTTTTGGAGAGTTTTAGTTCCCCTCGCCCTACTTATTTCTGCCACTGACCAGGAGTCCGGCGATCCAGCCGGGATCTGGCTTCCTGGACAGGGCCCCTAGTCCCCTCGACGTTCCCCTATCCGCCACCTTGGGACGCGCACGATAGGTAGCCCAACCCACGGCACCTCAATTGTATGTCACATAGTACTTTCTATGTCACATAGTACTTTTTCTCATTTACTCGTATTGTTTACCTTTTCCGACGAGTCACCGTAACATTTGTAGCTGTGTCTGATACAATTTATAATAAACAAGAAGCAGTATCGAACCAAGGACCGTTACTTGAGATTTTCCCATTGTGATTTTTTCAGGAGTGCCTTGATGATTGTCGGTTTCAGTATCCTCTGATTCATATAAACCTACAGTGAACAGTAAAGTGGTCATATATCATATTGATCTGAATTATCAAATCTTCTGAATAGTTCCTGGAGATGATAATGTGCGCATTATCATTAAGTAGTCGTAAAACAAAATTTTTGGGATTGTTTCATTCGTCGCAAAACATAGTTCACGCCACTGTCTACTCATCTGCGGTGTTTGTTATTTTTTTTTCAAATATGCTGCAGCACTTGCTTTTAGCGTAACTCGTAAATGTTGAATGTTAGTCAGAAATTTGTTGAAAATCCTTGAAGAAAACTACAAAAAATTTAAGAAATTAGCTGAAAAAAAAAACTATTATATCAAGCAAAAAAACTGAAAACACAATTAAATAAAATACAAGCAACAATCGAAAAATCAAAAAACTCAACTGATAAAAATTAAAAATTATCAACAAGAAATGAAAATTAAAAATTGAAAGATTCCAAAACAAGTTACTACACGACGTTTCGATTGTTAGTATCCACAGTCGTCTCCGAGTGATAACTGTGATATAACAGCTAATCTTTTTAATTTTTCATAGATTTCAAATTAATGTATATCATATTGGACAATGGAAGTCCAAACCAATGAAATACACCACGAAACATTGTCAACCACATTTACAGTTCTACGGCAGAGGTTCCAAATGATTTTGGAAACTGGAATTGGTAGAAAACATACAGTGAAAATTTACTCCGAATATGAAGTACACAGTTTTCAAAACTAGTTGAATCGAAGATATTCATGTGAATGGTTTTAGATGAAATGATCTTTTCACTTATATAACAATAATTTTTTCAAGTGAATTTTTTAATTTTTGGAAAAGAAACTTTTTTTCTCAAAAATTAATCTCTTCTAAAAATATACCAATTCAATTCAAGCAAAACCTATGGCTGGGATTTATTCAAATAAGCGAATGAATGTTATTTACGTACTGTCATCGATGACATGAGTGAATTCAACCCATCCTAAAACAAAAAAGTTGTAATTATGAACGAATTGAGTGTTTTTTTCTTATATTGTTATCCGTATGTATTTGCTACTGAAGAGCCGATATGGCGAGTACCTTACGGCAAAACATCGGTTGTCTAGCAGTGAGGATGACAGTGTTCCATTGAATGTAATTTTACTTCTTTCATTGATTAAATTGTGTAGAAATCCTGTGAATGAATGATATCTGAATCCATTACAGATGTTTGGAATAGAAACGGAATAGAGGAAAGTGTTTTTCGTATAATTCAGCGTTCATATAAAAGTATTTATTCTAAAAGTAATTTCCTTTCGTGTAATCCAATATTTATAATGAAAATATCTGTTTCGAAAGGACCTTTTCCCAGTTAGTGTCTGGAATTTATTCCTTTGCATGATTTACAGATCTTTGTATAGAGTTAATTTTTTGAAATTGATTGCTTCCTTCCTTTCTCTGGAAGATTCCCACATTTTTTGTATCAAGATGTAGGAGGAGAAGGCCAAAAATTTTCTTCCCCAGGTAATAATCTCTCCTTAACATATACCATTCCAATTTTTTAATTATTGTACTACATGAATTGAGTACAGATGGATATGCCAGCAGGTTTGTACATCACTTACGATTCAATAACACAATGTGCTGCAGTAAGAATGGTGTATTCATCCAAAATAGACCCGTCACACCAATAGTCATGATTATAATACAAGCTCACCTGGAAGAGATATGGAATATATCAGTTTTAACCAATCAAAAAAGTTAATATCGGAACGAAAATGAAATCTGTCATTTATTGATAATTCATTTCATTCATCATACTTCATCTTGGACTTTTTGATTCATTACCAGTATTGCAATAGAGGTAAAATGAAATCTTACGTGCAGAAATGCAATACTCTCCTCGACGCACGTTTCACCAACTAAATTGATATATTCAGGATATCGAAGAAACTATTTTCTTCTTCTCCTGAAGACGCCAAGTTGGTTGATGAAACCCGCATCGAGAAAAGTATTGCATTTCTGGTGATTGGATTCATTCTACACCATAGGTTTCTAATAACAACGATGTATATGATATCTAGACAGCTCAACGCCACTCACAAGAGGTAACAACAGTGAAAAACTCTCTCCGCGGCAAGTATCAGCCCAAACTTCGACAGATCTGGTCATCGGAACTGTCGGGGAAGAACAAAGTAGCTGCAACAAATATGCTTGCCGTTCCAATCTTACTCTACTCGTTTGGAGTAGTGAAGTGGACTCGGGAGAAGCTGTATCAACTCGACGTAAAGCCCGAAAAATTATGCATCTATATAGGAGTTTGCATCCCAAATCGTCCGTTCCACGGTTGTACTTCCCCCGACAACAGGAAGGCCGTGGACTTTTGAGTTTAGAGTGTCTAAATGACAGAATGGTACTGGATACAGCCTGTAAAGTCGTCAGGAGTTCGGATTCCCTTCTCTGCATGGTCCATGACTATGAGAGAGCAGGAATTTGGAGCATTTCTCTTTAGGGCAGCTGCCCGAGCAGCTGATGAACTCGGTGTAGTTTTCAACACTGATATAATATAATTCAGCCTATATTCATCGACATAACGCGGCCCTAAGAGTGCTATATTACCACCTACGGTACTCTTACGCTAGTTGCACACACACACCGATTTTGGACGGCCGACTTTGTACCGGTCGTCCAAATTCCAATAGTGAACCACATGTGGGAACGGGACCTTGCACACACGCCGACCGGTGATCGTCGCCGGTAAAATACCGGTGAGCAGCCGTCCACTGCCACAGTATCGCCGGCAGTACCGGGAAGTAGTGGCGTACATGACTGAATACACTCTTGCATACTCACCGGTTTTTTACCGACCATTCCAGTCTCGAATGCTCGGTGAAATTGTAGTTACTACGCATTATTTCGTTTTGGTAGTGCGTGCTAATTATGACAACAAAACAACTGATTGTTTGACAGATAAAAATTCGGTGAGTGTGCAAGCACCCGCTACCAATAAAATATCGGCCGATTTTATACTGGCCGTCCAAAATCGGTGTGTGTGCAACTAGCGTTACGGTATTGACGAGACACCGGTGTTGCCCTACGCTCTGGGGGATATTGAATCCGTTGTGCGGAACGAGAAGTGGCGAATTTATTGCAACTATTCGTTCCCCACCCTCAGGCTCATGCGAACTGATAAGCCTGATGTGGTCCTTCTCGATCACCAGAGCAAAACGATATTTGTCCTGGAGTTTTCAGCTCCTGGCAAGACGAATATCGTCAGAAAAGAGGAGGAAAAACGGATAATATATCGAGATTTTCTCTTCGAACTCCGCAGACTCTATCCAGATCACTCTGTCAAGATGGTTGTTCTAATTATTGGAGTCCTTGGTAGAATGATATCCTCTCTACTCTCGAATCTTGAAATCATACCGGCTTGCCGCACTAAGGCAGAAATCTTAGCCGCACAGATGCAGAAGGATGTCATTCTTGGCTCACTGCGCTTGCTCAGGACACAATGATCACTTACCCCACGGTGTGGGGAGAGGTCATTGGTTGATAATGTTGGCGCGTCCTCCCGAATATATCGGGGCTTCGGGGAAAAGGGCCTGACCAGCGCACACTACGGTGAAAAAAAAAGTTCATTCACATTAGAATGTTAACAATAATGGCATAAAAAAATCTAGGTGTCATTTGCAAATAAACGGAGAAAACCCATTTAGGACCAAATGATTGCGCATGAGTCTTTATTTCTCGTCTGTTGTACATAATATTTCCCACAGAAATAATTGATTACATTTGTCATTTAAGTTAAACAGTAATTCAAAGATTTAAAATATTTAATGAATGATACTAATATTTTTCGTTCATTATTGTTTTAAGCATATTGAAAAAATATTCTCGACTTTTTGGTTCGATATTCATCAAAAACGTGTTCTTTTTTTAACTATATTTATTTTTCATTTTTCAGTTTCATATGCTATAAAAGCGTGTTTTTTAGTATTTTTGAACTATATTTATTTTATCCAAACTTTGGGATCTATTATCCGTATATTGTTTAGAAAAATGACCATTGATATTTTCCGATACCGGAGAGGGAGCCTGAAAATCAGCTACCAAGCCCAAGGCAGTAGGCGCGCAAAGGAGTGTTACAAATGAGGCAGCAGGCGGTGTAAAATACATGTAAAGTGAGTTCGAATTATATCAAGGAGGTTACGTACAGCGCCATCTGCCCGCGAATAGATCAATCACTAATGTTGATATATCAAGGAGGTTACGTACAGCGCCATCTGCCCGCGAACAGATCAAGCAATAATGTCGATAATTCTGTCAAATACAGATTCTGATATGAAATGAAAAAGAGAGTTATAAACGAACATACATATATACATATAGGTGAAGCTAATATAAAGCGTGTAAAAACAAACATTTTCCTTCAACCTCACCAAATATTTGTCAGTGAATGAAAGAATAACCGTTTCTTTTAGTTACAATAATGAATCCTCATTACTGAAGATAATAGTGTGAGTTTTTCAAGCTTCCAAGTAACTATAAATATGTTAGATGTTTGAATTATTCTATGGAGAATTTTGAAGATGAGATTATCATCAAGTGCTGAAACATTACAGGATATCATTTGGTCTGAGGTGGAAACTAGTTATAGCTACACTCGTGGTCAAGTTGGGAAATGTCCTTGTAATCACTAAGTCTTTCGAAGATGCCACGAATCCGTAGTTGGCGGTGATCTTGCATTCGCTTATTTTTCTTCTCCCTTTTTTGCAATCAAGTGTTTACTATCCTTTACACTTGGCTGTACCGTACTGACGAAGGCTAAGTAGCCAATAACATATGTCGGAGGTTTGCTCACTTTCCTATTAGTGCTAGTCAGATAGTTCATATTCATTGATTAATACGGTATCACTCAGTATCCATACTTTATTTTTGCTCCATTTCAACCCCGAATGTCACTCAGGTTGCTATAGCTGCACCAGCGTCTGAGTTGGGGGTTGTCCTTGTAATCACTCTCTTCATCATTTTTGATATATTTTTCATGAGCAGTTTTGAGCAGTTTTCGAGAAGTCCGCTGGTTCAAACTATGTGAATATGATAGCAGTCTGCTCATGAAAACGCATAACTTATGGGAGATATTTTCAACACTTCAGTACTATCTTTGTTGTTGTCAATAGTAAGAAAAAATATTCAAATGAAATTGTAATATTTTGAGAAGGTTTTCTTTATTTTAAATAACTCAATAATAGTAAGCAAAAGTAACTCAACTTTTTGTGCCTGAAATTAATTTTATTTTTCGTTTATAATCGTGGAAAGACTGATAATGAAGAAAACTTCCAGAAGATCATACTTGATTGGCCATCCTGTTTGCCGCTGTTTTGTCTCCTGGGAAGAGCGTCCGCTGATATAGTCTTCTCAGGCGATTTCTCTCCCGTATCATGGCTTTGATACGAGGGGGAAACTCATTGTAACTCTTCAGCGGACACTTCTCACTGGAGGTGGCCGTCCGAAAAGCATCATTCACAGAGGTCTCGAAGCGGTGAACTGCCGCGTCGAGTTCGTTGGGAGAACGGAGACCCTCAGGAGGGGCGCGCATCTCTCCGAGCTGAGCTGTGAAAACATCCCAATCCGTCCTATATCTCACCCAATACCAGGATTACTGGATTATGATCGGAATCCAGTTCCGACAGAACGTAAATTTCGCTGGTCAGAGAGACGTTTCTGAGAAGCGCGATGTCCAGTAATTCAGGCCTATGCTGCCCGCGATAGAACGTAGGTTCATCCGGTCCCAGCACGAGATATTCATGTCTGTCCGCATGCGCACGGAGCGCTCGGCCGTTTCGATTGGTGGCTCTGCTCCATAGTCCGTGCTTGGCATTGAAGTCGCCAGCAGCAATTGTCGGAATATCGCTACCCATCAGCAGTTCATCCAGTGATTCTGGGAGTAAGAGATTAGTCGGAAGGTTATAGACAGAGATTAATCTGTGACAACCCCGTTTAAGTCGAATTTCGACCCCTACGGCCTCAGTTCCGTGTAACCAAGCACTGTCAATGCCGTATTGGACACACTGGAGGGATCGATGTTGTGCTCTACGAGAAAGATCTCGAAATCAAGTTTCTTAGGAAGAAAGCCATTGGCATTCCAAAAGACTATCTTCAGAGATCTAGGCAATGTCGGTTGTCTAGACATTGGCAGTTCCAGTCAGCACGTTAGTATTCACCGAGAACATTTTTTCGAGCACGGAGAATTTGAAGAATAATTGCTTCATCTGCTCCAAAGCGGCGCAGATGTCTGAAGCCCCCTGAGTCTGAGGTGAGGGCACAGATCGAGAAAGAGCAGTCTTTGCCGAGCCGTTTGCACCCTTGGATGCTGCTCTGGCAAAACTAACCCCTTCCTTAAGACGACCAGACCCCGCAGGTCTGCCTGGGGGAGATGGTTTCTTAGCTGAGCTGAGCCTTAGGGAACTCAGGGCAACCTCTATAATTGGCAGTATGTGCCCCTATGCAATTATTGCACTTCGGGGGGTCAGTTCTTGCTTTCTTGCAGGCGTTGGTGAGATGCCTGCCGGCGCACTTGACGCACATTGGGACTGCCATACAATTCTTTTGGCAGTGGCCGAAACGTTGGCAGCGGTGGCACTAACCCACCGAAGCTTTGGGGTACTGGGGTTCAACCTGCACCTTCACACTCAAGAGGTTTTTGACCTCGAAGAT